TCCCTACTCCCTGTGTATCCTACTCTAATCTATATCTAGGTCCCTGACAAGGTCCAGGACTCCCTACTCCCTGTGTATCCTACTCTAATCTATATCTAGGTCCCTGACAAGGTCCAGGACTCCCTACTCCCTGTGTATCCTACTCTAATCTATATCTAGGTCCCTGACAAGGTCCAGGACTCCCTACTCCCTGTGTATCCTACTCTAATCTATATCTAGGTCCCTGACAAGGTCCAGGACTCCCTACTCCCTGTGTATCCTACTCTAATCTATATCTAGGTCCCTGACAAGGTCCAGGACTCCCTACTCCCTGTGTATCCTACTCTAATCTATATCTAGGTCCCTGACAAGGTCCAGGACTCCCTACTCCCTGTGTATCCTACTCTAATCTATATCTAGGTACCTGACAAGGTCCAGGACTCCCTACTTCCTGTGTATCCTACTCTAATCTATATCTAGGTCCCTGACAAGGTCCAGGACTCCCTACTCCCTGTATATCCTACTCTAATCTTTATCTAGGTCCCTCACAAGGTCCGGGACTCCCTACTCCCTGTGTACCTACTCTATTCTATATCTAGGTCCCTGACAAGGTCCAGGACTCCCTTCTCCCTGTGTATCCTCCTCTACTTCACTCTGGTACTCCTCTACCTCTACTCCAGGGATAACCTCAAAAGTACCTCCACACAACCAATCAAGGTGAGTTCCTTTCAGGGGGAATGATAGTTATATACCTGGCACCTAGTTAGCTAAATAAAAATTTACGCAATTTCAAAAAATTGTTTTTTTAAGAGCTGTTTATTTATTGTCGAAAAATGCTAACAATCCACCAGAAGATGTATTAAATGTAATGTAAACAATAAATATGTAACTTTAATTTACTTTTCTTTTCCTTTTTTTAGGACTGAGGGGAAATATTCCCACAACTTCTATTTTTGGAGGTTTTTAAATATTTTCCTCTGAACATTAGTAAGGGATTTGCTCAAAGAAAACCTCTTTTAGCTCAAAAGAACCAGAGTTTACATATTTAAACCATTCTTTAAGAACGGTTGGTGGAACACACTTAAAAGAATATAGACTATTCTGTTTTTGTGTTAAATTTTGTGTTAAAAAGGGATAATTTGTTAGAGAACTAATTATTTTAGGTAAAGAAAAAGTTGAATTTCCTAGAACTAGAGGATATACCTCTCAGTATACCACAGAAGGAATAAAGTGCATGACTAAGCATTAAATAAAAACTCCAGATATTCCGTTTATATTGCAGATCAGAAGACTTAGATGGGGTAGGAGAATTGAACCTTGAGGACTCACTTCAGAGATTCACGAACAGACCAGGGATCATATTGTGGTAGGCAGTATAACAATGCTTTTTTTCCATTCAAGAAACTGTTTATGTAATTATAAGGGACCCTCTATTCCACTCTTTTTCATTTGTTTATTTTATTTTTAAAAAACTGAAGCTTCAAGCTCAGGCTTAAGAGGGCCTTGTACTTAAAACTAGAGTGTCCTTTATTATAGATCTATCTACAGGGTTACCCACAAAGAATGGGACTTCACTAGAGTGTTCTTTATAGATCTATATACAGGGTTACCCACAAAGCATGGGACTTCACTAGAGTGTCCTTTATAGATCTATATACAGGGTTACCCACAAAGAATGAGACTTCACTAGAGTGTTCTTTATAGATATATATACAGGGTTACCCACAAAGAATAGGACTTCACTAGAGTGTCCTTTATAGATCTATATACAGGGTTACCCACAAAGCATGGGACTTCACTATAGTTTCCTTTATAGATCTATATACAGGGTTACCCACAAAGCATGAGACTTCACTAGAGTGTTCTTTATAGATCTATCTACAGGGTTACCCACAAAGCATGGGACTTCACTAGAGTGTCCTTTATAGGTCTATATACAGGGTTACCCACAAATAATGAGACTTGACCAGAGTGTCCTTTATAGATCTACCTACAAGGTTACCCACAAAGCTTGGGACTTTACTTGAGTGTCCTTTATAGATCTATCTACAGGGTTACCCACAAAGCATGGGACTTGACTAGAGTGTCCTTTATAGATCTATCTACAGGGTTACCCACAAAGCATGGGACTTCACTAGAGTGTCCTTTATAGATTTATATACAGGGTTACCCACAAAGCATGGGACTTCACTAGAGTGCAGGGTTACCCACAAAGCATGGGACTTCACTAGAGTGTCCTTTATAGATTTATATACAGGGTTACCCACAAAGCATGGGACTTGACTAGAGTGTTCTTTATAGATCTATATACAGGGTTACCCACAAAGCATGGGACTTGACTAGAGTATCCTTTGTAGATTTGTATACAGGGTTACTCACAATGCATGGGACTTCACTAGAGTGTCCGTTATAGATTTATATACAGGGTTACCCACAAAGCATGGGACTTGACTTGAGTGTCCTTTATAGGTCTATATACAGGGTTACCCACACAGGATGGGTATTTACTAGAGTGTCCTTTATAGATCTATCTACAGGATTACCCACAAAGAATGAGACTGTAAAGACGACCAAAAACTCTAAAAAATATGACGACTTGTAGCTTGATTTTTGGTTTCTGCATTCAATTGAGTATTTTTATGGTTTACTTAATGATAAAGCACAGAAATAAGCCAGTTTTAGCATACAAGGAACCATGGATGCAAGAAAACGGACTAAACAAAGTTTGTACAAAGTATGTAAACATTTTATTTTTCATTGATGGCCAAAGACGACATTCAAAATTGAACCTTGCAAAAATATGTATTTCTAGTCAAATATCAATTATTGTATTTTTATAAAGTGATTTACTGAAATATATCTATTAAAGAACGCATTTTGAATACCAAATTCAACCATCTTCTAATTGTCAGAATTTAAGAGTTTTATGTCGTCATTAAAATTTTGAATACCAAATTCAACCATCTTCTCAACTTGATGTTGTAGGCCTTTGATATTTCAAATTGTGAATTCTGTTAATACAAATAGCATACATTTGAATATCAAAGGTTTGCACCATCAGGTTGCAAGGAAATAGAGATTAAAAATTAGAGTTAGTGTTAATTTCCTTTACTTTAATTTTGCGTAAAATTAATTTCTTTCTGACGGCATAAAATGTAAATAAGATTGCTTAAATGCTGGATCCTTCCTTTTCCACAGTTTTATGAGTCTCACTGTATGCCAGGGTAATATTTTTACGGACTGTCAATCTTGATTTAGAAAGAAAAAAGTATACTTTTGCTTGTTTAATGAACACTTTTTCAATCTTTTATTTGCTAATGCATATCGGGAATTTCTGTGTAAAAACCTAAATTTTCTTCATGACATAAATGTTTCTCTCTCTACAATATATATATGCCTTCTCAAAAATATATTTTATGCACTAAAGCAGTTTTTCTAAGTAAAATTGTAAAAAATGGAAATGATGTGAGTCTTTGCCACAAACTCAAATTTTTAAATTTGTATATATTTGCAACATGGCGGGGTAAACCTTGGATATTTCAAACTTGGATTATTTGATGTAGTGGAAGCCATAACTTAAATATCTAAGGTCTACGACATCTAGTTGCAAAGATATAGAGATTAAAAATTGATTTTATGGCAAAGACTAAATTTTTTTGAACGTACTGAAAATAATATAAATTTAGACATCGTTAAAAATTCAAGAACGGTTTAATTTCTATCTATTATAACTTTAAATAACCGTCTTTAAACCAGTTCTTCTTGTCTTAGTAAATTCAAGAACAGTTTAATTTCCATCTATTACAACTTTAAATAACCATCTTCAAACCACCAGTTCTTCTTGTCTAAGTAAATTCAAGAACAGTTTAATTTCCATCTATTATAACTTTAAATAACCGTCTTTAAACCAGTTCTTCTTGTCTTAGTAAATTTTAGTCAAAACCAAAAAACAATATTTTTTCCCTAATATATTTTTCCCAAAAGCAAACATTAATATTGAAATATTTTTAACAAAAAATTAATTAAATTGTAAAAAATATTCGTTAACAGATAAATACTGCAAATACAAAATCTCTAAGTATATATGTGAATAAATAAAAAACAAACATTTATAAGGATAGTGAAACAATTTTAACAATTATTTTAATTTTTGTTTCACTTTTTCTGAAGAAATGATGTACGTTGACACACAGTCCAGTTTATTGCAGTGAACAGATGGGTTTAAGACAGTTAACATTTGTAACTGTAAATAAGAAGCAGTTTAAATAAAAAATGAATTTGAAAAAATATAAAAAAGAAATATGTTTAGCTCTTACAATTTGATTTCAGCTAGAAATGCGGGAAACTGCTCTGCTTAAAATACCGGAAAATCAACCATCTTTATAATTCTCCGTATTTACAAATAATCTTGATATAATTTAGCAGTTCATTTTATTTTTTCCGTAAAATCATCATAAATATATATGGAATCAATACTAAATACATTTTGAATTACAAAATAATTCAAAATAGTTTAATACTTCAATGCACAAAGTTTCATTAAAGGGTTTTATAAGTCTAAAACTAATAAACTGTTTAATCCTCTTTAATCTAGAGAATAATGCCTGTACCGTGTTTGTTTGATTGCAGGCCTTGGTTCATGATGTAAATGTATGTTTACAGTGTAGCGAGAACACCATACATAGATTAACATTGTTGTTGTCTTGTCTATCAAAGAATACAGTTCTTGAGGCTGATCTTCATTTGTCTGAGTATACATGATGATACCCTCCTTCAACCCCTTCAACTGTTCATCCAGCTCCTCAGCAGATTCAGGATACTCTTGGGGAGATAGATGTTGAAATTCTTGCTTAAACATTTCCATATCAGAACTGGTGAATGTTTCAAGCGGACAACAGACAATTTTCTTTATATTTTCTTTACTTAGAATTTCCCTCAGAGTTCTGAAGGGAGCAGGATATCCTCTGAGTCCTTGTATTTGACGAACTCCTGGTGCCAGGTCCCTCACATCTACACTGTTCTCTGGTACGCAGACAACCAGCTCAACACTAGCTCTAAGGGAAACAAAACTAGCACTGTTCATACCATCAGCAAAGTAGAGAACTGAGGTTGATTCTGTGCCTCTAATGTGTGCATACCGAACTAACAAACAACCTCGCGCAGCAGCAAGAAATTCGTTCAGTTTTTTAATGTCATACAAATCAACATTTTTCTTACTTAATTCCTGAAGAAAAATCTCACGCTTGAATTTCTCTTGATAAACACAAACAAACTTGTTGTTAGTTATCTTCTACAGAGCTGTCTGATATACAATATACTGATCAAATTGTCCTGGTATAAGAATAGGAGGAATACCCTCTACTGTGACCGGTATACATGAGTCAAGATCAGTGAATCCCAAATCTTTATAGTAGTTCACAATCTTCTCACAGTTTCTGTACAGTTTGTTTAAAGAACAAACTTGAAATGAACTCTCCTGGAACAATCCGTCAATAAGCCTGTAACTGTAAGTGAACACGTCAAATAGATCGGGATGAATTGATACTGTAACTACAGAATCCAATGGTATAGCAGAGAGATAATCCAGGTTTAATAAACGTTGGTTCTCCGGATTCAAATATTGACACCATTTACCATCTTTCCATTCTTGTTTAACAGGAACTCCATCTCCGTATTCATCAATCACTATGATTCCAGATTTTTTCCCCATCTCTAAAACATAAATATTATATTTATTACCTATTATCTTTTGTATCTACATAGTGATAAAATTATTATGTTTTTAACACAATTTGTTCAGTTGATATGTTAACACTTATTTTATAAATAGTTTAAACATTTCAAAATAAAATAATATCCATAAAAATTATGTAAAATGTGATCAATGTATGCATAATTAGCAGTTTTTAGACTACAAGCTCGAGTCAGGTTGTAACTATATTAATAAATAATTAATATTTATTGGATCCTATTAAAAACCATATCTTGAGTCTAACAGTCCTCCTATCTCACAGTTTATCCTATAGATAGGTTACTTTTCCATTTTGATCCTTGAAAGAAACTATTAGATAATTTTAGAGTGATAAAGAAGCGGCGCAGACAATTATCTTTCTAATTCTTTCTTTAAATTAAATTTAATCCAAAATTTTATGCGACTGGGGAATGGGGATGCTTGATGCATACTGGCAAATCTAATTGTTCAAAGATATTCTGATAGATGCAAATGTGGATTGATAAAATAATTAAATTTAGCTTATACAATTCTGGCTGGCATACTAGATGTATGCTAACAGAACATAAAATTCACCAGAATGCATTCTGATTAACATGTAGACTGCATTCTGACCAATAACAATGGCAAGTTATATTTTATGTACCGAAATATTAGTTAATTTTAGTGAAGCGATATTTAAAGTGAAAAACACTTATCTACATCTAGTCAGCTCTCTCATGGTTTGAGAAATGTGTTTAAAATGTTTATTTTTTTGCAATAAATTATTTATAAATTATTTATTTTGGGCATCTGGAATTTTTCATAAGGTTTCTACACACTAATAACTATTTCCTAGAGATGAAATTTGCCCCTTAGTTCGCCACAGTCATTACTTATTAAATTTCAAAGTTAATAAATATTTTAAATCGTAAGTTTAAAAATATGTCCCAAGAAAATAAAATAAATATTTTTTCTAAATTATTTTTTATCTTATGTCTAATAAAAACTAGCAAGACGAACCTTGCAAAATTTTTTCTCATTTTGTCAGCCCCTAGAAGAAGATAATTTTGAACTTTTAAAGATCATTAACTATAGTTCCCCTCTACATGCAAAATAAAGGATGAAAACATTATCTTTTTTGACTATTAAAATCAATTTATTTTTTCTTCAGACAAACCGTTCAAGTTTATCCCGGTTTTTATCATTTTGAGCCACAGCGCGGCGGAGGGCTAACAAGCCCTTGAAAAAACATTGGTCACTTGTTAATCTTTGTCAAAAGTAAAAATATTCATTTTTGAACAATTTTCCGACGTACTTTTTGAACTTTTTGAACTCCCTAACCATTAAAGATAGAGGTTTAAATTTTTTTTAATGAGCAGGCCTTGAAAATTTGGGCTAGGGATACACTCCCTTATCTCAACTCTTAGGGCAAAACTATAGACTATGTTAAACATAATCTATACTAGACAGATCAAGCAAGAATCAAGCAAAGAACATTCCCATGATTCAACAGAGTTCCTGATTCCTCAGTCAAAATTTGAGGCAAATCGGTCAAGGGGCTCTCAAGTGTCATGATCTGACATGCAAATAAAATCAGACAGACAAACAGAGATTACAACTTTCTGTATAACATTTTTTTTTGCTGTCTATGGTAATTATGAATTATACAAAGTTAGTATATAAATCAATGTATAGTAAGGAATTAAAGGAATTTTTGAAAACTTTAGAAAGTTTATAAACATTTAATTTATCTATTGGTTTACATTCTAACACTTTGCTTCAGAATTTTAGACAACAGAACAGAACAGAAGTGCATCATTGACTATGAAAACATTTTATGTACAATTCTTTTTCAGAATCAAAAAAAAGTTTTTTTCATTCCATGTTTCTGTACACTGTATTTTAGTTTATAGTATATTCAGCCGAAATTGAGATTCACTTTAAAAATATTTATTTTGTATTTAAGCCACATTTAAAACTGTGACACCTTTACCTTTTAAAAACTCTGGAAGCTTGGAACAGAAGTTAATTCTTGAGAGATCAACATTCATCTTCTCACAAACAGATTCAGCGTTCTCAAAAAGAATCTCATAATCCCCATTCTGGGCCATCTCATCAAGAGCAACTTTAATTGATGTATCAAAAATGGGTGTGATGAACCTGTTCGATTCATCGTAACTGTTCACCAAACTAGGGTTCAGGCATGATATGAAAAGTGCCCTTGGTTTCTCAACAGACACCTTCTTCTCTCTTAAGTATCTTCTCATTTTCCCTACAGACAGTAGAGTTTTCCCACTTCCAAACTGACCACACACTACAGTTCTAGAGTGATCATCAGATAGGAATGTTACTTGGTCTTGGCTCCAGAACAGCATACTGGTAAGTGATCCAGCAGCTTTATTTTTTGTATCATCAAATTTAGGCTCTTCAGCAGGGGAATCACTGGGATCAATTCCAACGCCAATAGATTCAACATTGTCCCCCAGCAGTAGATTCCTGGATTCTTTAACAAGGTTATGTGGAGCCAGTTTCAGGGTGGCATTAAATGGAGCCAGGTTCAGGGTGGAATTAGCTTTACCAGAATGAACTGATGCCAGCAAAAGATTAACTATGCTGGTGTATGTTTTGTCAACAGGGGAGGGAGGGCCCAGGTGCTTCTTCAAATCTTCCATGATATTACCCTTCTGTATCTCTAGTGCTGTTAAGATGACATGATTTGGATATTTTGTTGAGAACTCACGAGACACTTTGATCTGAAAACAAAATTGTCTTTAACAATAATATTAAAGTTGTTCTTTTAATGATTCAAGATCTTTATCAAAATAATAATGATAATTATATTGACTCAAATGATATTAATAATAAGAATAAGAATTACAATAATATAAGAAAAAAATTATAATAATTTTGAAAGTAATAATAATTATAATAATATTAAATAATAATAATACTTATGATAATAATAATAATAATAATAATGTTGAAAATAACAAAAAATCATCAAATGTGATATAAAAAGCCAAGCAAATAGAAGGAAAACTACTTCCATAACATTTTTTTTGATTAAGAGGATTTAGAGCAAGCCTTTTTTGGTGCTGAAATGTTCTTGGAGAAATTCAGCTCCAGGGGCCTAAATAAGGAGGTTATTTGGAGAAATTTATCCACCCATAGAATCTTGTGGGTAATTGACCCCCCCCCCCCCTATCCTTCTAGAAACTTGATTCCATGTACATAATCATTTATATTAAATATTAAAGGGAGTTACCACCTACTTTGCAATGTATGGTAGTTGTACTCAGAATGTAGTATTGTGGAGAAATATTTTAGGATTCATTTAAGGCATATAAAACGTTGTAATGATTTGAAATCACCGAATTTGAACTTGATTAAAGATTTCTTCAAATTCTTCCAATGTCGTCTTTTCAATAAAAATTCCAGGAAATCTACAGAAATTTTTTGTGAACAAGGAGACATTATAGAAACCAATAACTGAAAAAGATTACCTATTTTCGATTATAATAGTTAATTTTTATTTTCTCAACCTGTTCCTAAACAACTAATATGTTTACTGTAGAATTTTTAGTACATTCTTCGTCGTCGTTATTGAGTAATTTTTCAAAAACTGATTCTCAAAATCATCCCTCAAAAATGAACAATCTATGAGGATTTTAAAGATTGAATTTTTGCTCTTGCTGAACAAATATTTACTGCAAACACGTCTCATAGGTCTCAAATGATTCCTAAAAAAAATTCTCCACAATACTACATTCTCAGTTCAACTGCCATACATTGCCGGTCATCCCCTTTAAACAGAAGATTAAATCTTACAATTGCCAGTCACTCCCTTTAAAAAGAAGATTAAATTGGAGGATCGAAATGATTGTGTTGCATTTTTCATGTTTAAGCTAAATCAAACCAATATTCATAGTTGTAGACATATTTTCATGTTTAAGCTAAATCAAACCAATATTCATAGTGTAGGCATATTTTCATGTTCAAGTTAAATCAAACCAATATTCATAGTTGTAGACATATTTTCATGTTCAAGTTAAATCAAACCAATATTCATAGTTGTAAACATATTTTCATGTTCAAGCTAAATCAAACCAATATTCATAGTTGTAAACATATTTTCATGTTCAAGCTAAATCAAACCAATATTCATAGTTGTAAACACATTTTCATGTTCAAGCTAAATCAAACCAATATTCATAGTTGTAAACACATTTTCGGAAGCTTTTAATTATATCTTACAAAGTTTATTAAGAGCCAAATATGAGTTAATAATTGAAATCAAAACTAACTTTAACCAATGATTTGATATACATCATAAAGGGGATTGAAATTAATCCAAGTGGGGGGGGGAGGTATTTCGGCGGTGCGACTTTCTCAAAAAGAATTTGGCTAAAAACATTGCAAAGTTTAATAAAAACAAACTTTCTCTAAATACAGTTTTAAAGTGTTGTAAGTATTAACTTTTAAATATAAAATGGAAAACGAAAAAGCCCCGCTTTTCGTTTAAAATTATCACCAAAAATTTAACTTTTTCGTTTTAAAACATAAAATAAACAAAGAAATGTACTCAAAACATGGAAATTTTTTTGTTTTAAATCAGTCAATTTGCAATATTTTTATATTTTGTATTTTGATTTTAATTCGGGAAAACAGTTTAAAAAAAAACTTATGTATTGATTATTTGTTGAAAATCAAAATATTTTCATTTGTATTAATGTTTTTTTAACATTTTTATCATTACATTCCATTTTTAGGGAGCCATTTCTGATTTTTGTAAACATTTTTTTAAAAAACATGTCAATAAGAGTTCATGGCACAGAAAAATACAATTTTGTTTTTACTATCGTTTTAATGTCGCTGGTAAATCATGATAAACTTGATTTTTAAGATAGAAAAGAATTATTCAATTACTTAACAGCGTATGGTTAAATTTAAAATCTACAGTAAACTGTTAAGTTGGTCTCTAGAAAAGGAGGGTTCTTAAGATACTCTTGACCCCCCCTTCTGTGTATCCTTGCCTGCGCCTGGATACTGGTGCCCCAGACTCGTCCCTTTACTGTTTATCTTACATTCGCCTTTGTTTCCATTAATTATTTTACTAACAATAAAATATCTAGGACGATATTTACAAAAAATACTGTAAAGACGACATTTAAAAAGATGTATTCTCTGTTATTACAAAATCAGCTGTTCCATTTCCTCCCAACCATTAAGTATTCTTTAGTTGTCAACAATTTCATCGCAGTTAGTTTATTGTTGACATTTCTTTGTTTTTCTAGATTTACATTGTTCTTAAAAACCGCATTTTACATTTGATTTAAAAGTTTTTTATGTATGTTACATACATAGTTTTTGATTTAACCTTGAATAGATATGGATTGAAGCCTGACCCCCTTCCTTCCTTCCCTGTTTAAAAGTCCGCATTCCGTAATGAGCTTTTATTGACTGGTGCTGAATAAGTTTAAATTTATAATTCAGATATTTTGATAAATTTTGCTTCTCTTCTTTAATAGGGTTTAATTTTTTCTCTTCTATTTTTGAAAATCCATAAACATTAGCTGGGTCCGTCCTAGTATACGATTTTTAGACCCCTCCTTTCAATTTNGAGGGGGGGGGTGTCCTGAAACCTGATTTACCCGCTTTGATGTTTATTTGATACTGCAACAAACTGGCCTATCTCTATTTTCTTATTTGATTTAAATGTTTTTATTTATGATTTTAGAAAATGTTCTAGATCAACTATAAACAATAAGTTCACGTTTTCTAAACTAATTGGAGTGGGCGGGGGTTGTTTAAACATCTTGTACTAGAACTGAACCACAAACAGACCTCAATATTATTTCTTATTTTTTTCAGATATCTTATGATTTCTTATAACTTTTGTTTTCAGAAAATGCACTAGGTGTTCTGTGTTCATTGATCAAAATGTCAAGTACCTCGTTTATGCACAGACTGCACATTTCCCGGCACATTATCTTACAAAACTTGTCGCCGATCTGTTCAGTTTATCCTTCTCAATCTCACACCGTCTTTCTGATTAATCAAGCATCAGATGCAACATGCGGCAGGTTAGAACATTGTGATTAATTTAAGGACAATTGATTTATTTTATAATATCCTGGTTTTTCTGTCAAACAATTGATGATTTTTAATCGGGCATACAACTTTCAAGTTCAATTCTTGGGTTCACGAACTTGAAATAATATTCGAAGTCTGTTGATAAATATTTTTAAGAATCACCCCACTCCCAACCCTTCCGGCCCCACTGGAAGAGGAATAAAGAGAATTTTAACGTTTGGGGGGAATATTGAAGTTCCCCCCCCCTCTGTTCGATACTTAAACCCCAAATTTCATTTAATTATTCCCCCTCCCCGAGGAAAGAGAATCGAAGCGCCCTAACAATTTAGTTTTTTATTTACTTGGATATTTATTTCAAGATAGCATAATAAAAAATAGGAATGAGCTTGTTCTCCAGAAATGATTCATTAGAATTTTTAAATTTATTAATTTCAAACAAAAAAAACAGATTTTTTAAGAATATTTATTTAAATGGAATGCGAGTGTTTTAATTTCAACACATATCATGATGAATATTCTTAATTTCGGTAAGTATACAAATTTTAATCTTGTAGATTAATTAATAAAAAGTTATAACCCATTTCTGATTTTTTTTTAAACACCGACCCGCCGTTTGACTGTCTTCAACCCTACTCTATGCATCGAAAAAAAAAATGGCATTTGTTCACAACTATGAAGTTGAAAAAGTGAGATGTACAATCGTGATAAGGTTAATGTTAGGACTTTATTTAAAAAAATAAAAAAATTGTAGAGGAATGAGTTCGCAGGTGACAACTGCTCAGAGTTCTACTGGACCCTGCTTCACTAAAACACAGGTCAGATAAATTGAAACTGAGTAGCAAAAATAGATAGAAAATAGAGCTTTTTGGGTGGTGGGTGTAGGGGATACAAAAAGAGGTTAAAAAGAAAGTATGTGATTGTCCCCCCCATCCTTTTAAGCTTTAAATACACCTAAACTTCTCATTTAATTGATTAACACATTTAGTTTAAAAACAATTTGAGGAAAAAACATATTTAAGATTTTTAAAATTTTTTTATAATTTTATTTAGGGTTGGGGTATCCCAACCTCCCACCCCCCTGGCCCTCAACCGTTTTTAAATATATATTATATAATATACAGTGAAGTAAGTAATCCCCTGGTTCAACTGATTTTAATAATATTTTATTATTTGATTAAACAAGAACTTAATCCTTTTATCAAGTTTGTAGCAAATGTTGTCGAAGTTTTGATAATCCTCGTAATAAACAATTCTTAAAGTGAGTGTTCGCGAAAACTTTAATCCAATTAAAGGAAGTGTTCGCGAAAATTTAAATCGAATTTGATTTTGATCGCTACTAATCTTACTTCTATCTGTTGCGTCTGTAAGGAGAAAAACGTAGCGTCCATATAACTTCACAAAGTTGCATTATTCCGCTCAGATTGTAAATAATTCAATTCAATTTAAAATTAAACATTCAGATATTACGTTAGCATAAACCCACTTAATTTTTTTGCGAACAGGAAAATAATTTTTGATGATATGGGGAAAGAAATAAAATCATTATAAGGCAACTTTTCTCATTATTTTTGATACTTTCCTACTTAAAACTAATTATTTTTTCTCTAAAAATAATTTATTTTCAATAATTCATCATGGAAAACAAATTTTTTTCAGGAGGGAAATTGATTTTCTAGAAAATATACACCCCTGTATTTTTAAATTGTGCATTATTTAGGCTGTTCAAATGATTGAGAAACTAACAGTTGAAGAAAGGACTCTTTTTCTGAAGGAATTGAAAAAAGTAATCTCTCCAGGTAATTATTTTAATTAAAGTGTGACTAGTAAACGTACCTTCATTCAAAAAGTGTCATTTTCGATTCTCGAACGGTACCTTTTATTCTTTAACTAATGCAAAATATGATATCCTAGTTTTTCCATCTAAAAACTTTTCATTTTTATCCATGGGTTCTCTGTCAAATTGATTTTTAGACTTATGGTGAAGAGCCATGGAAGAAAATTGCCAAAATTATTCTCTTTTTAAGATCGGAAAACATTCATATGGAGCAATACATTTTGGAATTAAAATAAGAGAACATCAACTGAAATAGCAGCATTCCAAATATAAATTCATATAGTTAAAAGCCAAAAGATTTGTTCCGGGATGCTAGATGCTAGATGAGTCGATCTGCTGAATAATCCAGAGATGATTTCAAGGATGTACATAGCTAGGAAGGCTGAAGCGAGTAATTACCCCAGAAGATATTCTGCGTCGGATCATTTTTTGAAATGTTTCCCGTTAAAACCAAAAATTTATTTAGAGGAATTCAAAAACTTCAAACTTGAATAAAATATCTTATGAGAAGGATTAAAGGCTCTACTTGACACAATTCGATCGAAAATTTAAAAAAATGGAAATATCACCACTTAAAAGTTTTTTTGGACACCCACCGTCCCTAAATGTTTCAATGTATTTTTATCTCAGGAATCTTTTATTTATTATTTAGGCTGTTCAAATGATTGAGAAACTAACAGTTGAAGAAAGGACTCTTTTTCTGAAGGAATTGAAAAAAGTAATCTCTCCAGGTAATTAATTTTTTCTAGATATTTAAATTTTTTTTTAATTCTCATATTTAAGTGTTACTAGTAAACCTTCATTCTCAAACTGTACCTTTAATTCTTTAACTAAGCAAAAAATGATATCCTTGTTTTTCCATCTAAAAATTTATTTATCTATTTTTATCCATGGGTTCTCTGTCAAATTGATTTTTAGACTTATGGTGCATGAGAAAACTGCTAGAACTAATCTCTGTTTAATGGAGCTAGAAATATAAAATATAATCTCTGTTAAATGGAGCTAGAAATTTGGAATAAAATTAATCTAGAGGAATTCAAAAACTTAATACCTTGAATAAAATCTCTCATGAGAAGGATTAAAGGCTCTAATTAACACCATTCGATCGAAAATTTAAAAAAATGGCAATATCACCACTTAAAAGTTTTTTTGGACACCCACCGTCCCTAAATGTTTCAATGTATTTTTATCTCAGGAATCTTTTATTAGAAAATAAAGGATTTCATCCTAATGTATCATTTACTCGGGTTTATTACTGAACATGGTTTAACATTTCAAAAATATTTCATTTCCCTTTAGTTTGGACTTTATCCCCCTAACAGTTGATCAACTTTGGGGAAGATATCGTCGTTTTTCCATCCTTAAATTCTTTCATTACGTTCTTTGTCTCTCCTGCATAAAATCCGAATTTAAAAAGTCTATTTTTGAAGTGTCCGGCGTTGCCCGTGGAATTAAAAAAATCTGTTTTTTAGCCTATGTTACCCCCCGGGGGTTCCCTCAAAAAATTTCAGCCCATTCTGTCCAGCCGTTTGGCCGGCTATAGGGAACATAAATACGAATGTCTTGTTTTATTATAGTATAGACTATAGACTATAGACTATAGACTATAGACTATAGACTCTTAGACTATAGACTATGGACTATAAACTAGCTGAAGTGTCCGGCATTGGCTGTTGAATTTTAGAAACACTTAAAAAATTTATTTTTGAAAAAAATTCTAATTTTTTAAGCCTATGGTTTCTTTCAAAAAAATTCAGCTCATTCGGTCCAGTCGTTTGGCCAGTATTTAGTTGAAAATATATTTCGGTCTGGGTTGACAGTTCTAACGATATAATAAACATCAAAATCAATAATGAAAAAATGTTAAAAACCACAAGACAATTTTTATTCCTTGAGATTGTTTCTGCTGTGAAGGACGAATGTTCAAAACAATCTGTTTATATGTATGTGTATAAAGTAGTGGTGGGAGGTTGATCTAATTAACAAACTTGAAGTTCAAAACAAACTGTTTATATGTATGAGATGGTGGTGGGGGTTTATCTAATTAACAAACTTGAAGTTCAAAACAAATTATGATATGTACGAGTATAAGATGGTGGTGGGGATTGATCTAATTAACAAACTTGAAGTTCAAAACAAACTGTTTATATGTATGAGATGGTGGTGGGGGTCGATCTAATTAACAATTTTGAAGTTCAAAACAAACCGTTTATATGTATGAGATGGTGGTGGGGGTTGATCTAATTAACAAACTTGAAGTTCAAAACAAACTGTTTATATGTATGTGTATAAAGTAGTGGTGGGAGGTTGATCTAATTAACAAACTTGGAAGTTCAAAACAAACTGTTTATATGTATAAGATGGTGGTGGGGGTCGATCTAATCTAATCTAACCAACTTTTATGTTTTAAGCTGAACAAGGCCGGCCTTCTAACAGAGATTTATTACAGCTGGCCTATCACAATTCTCTTCCTTTTGTTGGTAACATTTTAAAAACGTTTTAATAACATTTTTCATTGTTTAGTCTTATTTTCATTTTTTGAAAACATTCCCAAAAAGAATTGTCTTCTAAGCATATTTTGTTGAAAAATCATATTACCCCCCCCCCCC